TTTAAGTGGCTGCTTCCACAAAGCTGTCAGCCTCAGGTTGCTGGAGTTCGAACCTCACAACTCTCCCGCTGGCCAAAAGGGCCCTGAAGGCATTCGAGGACCAAAAAAAAAAAAAAACCTAAAAATAAATTTTTAATTTAAAAAAAGAAATATTAAAGATGGTTAGACAGAGCTAGGCCCTCAGAAGAAGCCAGGATGGAAGGCCAGATACCTCAAAACTGTGAGAAATATAGACACTCCCATGGTGGGTCAGACCTCAAGACAAAAGATCAAACAAATGCATGTCTCTCTAAGGATAACACCCATGACTGTTATTCTACATAGGCCTCTATCACCTTGAGGAAGCCAGGAAGAGTCACTAACCCAACCCCCTACAGGATAAGCCCCTGTTTTCTATTCATGCCCACTTGCTGTGTTTCCCCATTTGGTCCTGGATATAATCAATTTTACATAAGCAATTGTGCTTATTATTGGTTGACCATAGTTTTGTCCCACATCATACCCACCTAATTAGTACCCAGGTTTTCCACCTCAGACCTGCCTTGCCACATGGTTTTGCTCTACAAATCCCTACAAAAGACAGATTCCTTGGCATCTCATTCAGGTCCCCTTCTGTCCTTCTTTCACACGGAAGCTTTCTTTCCCCCAAGAAACATATTCTGCTCTTAACCTCCATCCTAAAATTCACTCTTTCCTTTTAGAGCATATGAGCTTGTCTCAGGGTATCTTTCAGGCTGGGAGTTTCATTCCCCTATATCAACACCTCCGTATGGTCACATGCTGAGCTTCACTTTCTTCAATCAACTCTGCTGTGTGATGAATTCAAGCTTTCTTTTATATCAGGTGATTTTGTCTACATGAGGACATCACTAGATCCCTTATGCCCTAGATGAGATGGGCCCCACCACATAATCCTCACAACTCTGGTACTGGCTAACCTTAAAGACTTTCCTCCCTACGTTCACTTCTCTGTTCTCTAACTGTCCAAACCCACTCTCATCTGCACCCCAACAGGGCCCACTGCAGTCAAGATCTCATGCTTACCACTAATAATAGAAACAAGTAACTTAGCGATCCTCTCTAACTTCTTTTAAAGCATGTTTCAATATTCTAGTACAAGAACTACTCCTTTCCTCCCCCCAGCATGATCTTCTAAAGAGTCTCTGTGAGCTCCAGTTTTAGGGGTCTTTTTGACTTATTTCCACCCACTCAGAACTTTTTCCTTTTGTACTTTCAATTAATTTTCTTCCACTCAATAACACAAATTTCTTTCGGATCTAAAGGCTGCTGCACTGATCTAACAATGAGAATGAACGGTCAATCCCAGCAAGTAACAAAAGTTTAGATAATTCCTAAATTGTTGTCGGTGAGGGGTAATGATGGCAACTCCTATGGCCTCATGCACCCACCCTCAGATCAGGTTCACAATGTCTCCCACTTCTGGGTGTGTGTAGAAATTTCCACACATGCAGAGGAAGGTTGGTCTGGTCTTGGTGTCTTGTTCGAACAACAGCTGAAGATGGGACAAATTTGTCTCTCCCAAGCACGCAAAGGGAGAGACAAATTTGGACTGAAGGAAGAGTCCAAATTTTCTATAACACGGCAGTGTTATAGAGAATGTGATTGTACAAAGTAAAATAAGTGACCACACATAGGCTATGCTATCCTCAATGTCTGGGGATGGGTAGAGCCTGAACATGTTACCACAAAGGGCCCAGAAGCACTGATCCTAAATGTGTGGTAGGATGGAGACCTGAAAACCTGTGTCTTAATACCACATATTCCACTATTCCATATTGTGGAATAATTCCCACGGACAAGGTTCCATTGGGACCTTTATGAGTCCGTGGCCAGTATGGCTGGCTGAATACCTACTAACTGTACAGGACAATGTACACAGGAACATCTTCATATTCTTTGATATAGTCATTCCTCTCTCCCAGAATAATCTCTAAATTGGAAAGCAGCCTAACATTAATAACACCATGTAAAATGTCCTCCCTGGTGGTTCATCCCCTAGGTGTGACCCATCTGGAAATAGCTGTTATTAAGGTAAATTTGAATATAGAGGTCTTAGCCCAACACATAGCCCATGCATTAAATGCCACTCATAAGGCTATACCCTTATTAATGGACGAAACATATCAAATTAAAAAGTCATTTTATAAGATCACATGGCTTTACATCTCCTTACAGCTGCCCAAGATGGTACATGTTTCATGCTTTATACAACATGTTGTTCTTTTACCCCACATAAGCAAGACTATGTAACTGCAGTTCTGTGGGAAATAGACAACAAGATGTAGGTTGTACAGCTTATGTCCCAGGAGGCTCTAGGTGTTCATGGGATTCATGGAAGTCCACTATCATATTTTAGATTCTTTCTTTCACAGTGCCTGTTTTCCTGTTATTACTCTCATGTTTATTATTGTCATGCCCGGTTAATCTGATTCAAAGATATCTCACCAACAAGGAATTACTAAAGACCACATCAATAGATCCTCTTCCTTCAGTCCAGATGGAACCTTAACCACCATCATCCCTAATCATCAAGAAATAGTTACGGGAAAAATGTGCTGCCCATTTTTCTTATCCAACCATAGAGTGGAATGAAGAGGTCCAACTACTGCCATTCTGAGCAGAACAGAGATCATGCTAAACCTCTCCCCACAGCTGTGCTTGTACACCTCATAGGAATATATAAGCATGGGTTGATAAGGCCCAGTAGCCATAGCTACAGCTCCCATCACTATTCAGCTGCACTCGACAAATAATCAAGGTCCAGTGACCATAGCTACAATCCATCATTGCCGATTACTATTCAGCTCTGTTCTTGACAAACAAATCACAACTTCTTGTATGTTCTCAGTTCTGTCCCTAGTGGATAGCCACAACTTCTTTGTACTGAACTCTCCCCCTTGAAAGTCTCACTGTGACATGTTTCTTTCACAGCCCCTACTTATTCCTATGACCCTACAAAAGGCCTTATAACCTGTATGGAAGCAGCTGGCTTGACCAATTGCCAGAGCAGTCCTTCTCAGGATTGTTCTGAAATAAACCTGTTCTGCTGAGCTTGAAATTCTGTTCTTTTTCCTTTTTTTCCTAACAAGGGCTCCCTCCAGAACAAACTTAAAGCATCAGAGGGAGATTGTCGCAATTTTCTGAGATGACCTGTTGGGAGGGGATTAAACTGAAAAAATTGTAATTTGAGCACTGTTTGGATAAAGTAAGGCCAGTGGTCTACAATGCTCCACACCAACATCTGTGGATTACAGTTCTAGGTGGAGACAGGAAGGTCTTTGGTTATGCTTTGCTTCTATACTAGAACCTTCTAATTGTTGTCTTTCTATTTCCATGAAATAGGGAATTGCTGAGATCACCCACTTCAAGTATTCCTCCAGACGAAGGGAAATTGAGATTCACATTGGAGAGGGGACAAATTCAGGACAAATCAAAAGCCCACCCAAACTTCCTAGCACACAGCATTCATTGGCTTGGCAACTTACTGGAGATGTGCTGAGAATAAAATTCTCAAGGTAAATAAACAGAGGGAAAGACAAAGAGCTGGGGAGTGTGGAGATGCTGATCAGGGAGACTGGAATGAAGCAGAGACAAAGTCCTTCCTGTCCTTTTGCAGCACGGAGGGCTGGGCCTTGGCATCCCCAAGCTCCCTCCCATCTGCCCTGCTTTCAGTAGTCACTGGCCAGTGCAGGAAGCTGTGTGCAAGGCTATCCTACAGACCCTTGTGTCCCCTCCACTCCTGTTCCTCTGCCCAACTGGTTCAAAAGTAAGAAAATAAAAAGCCTTTCCTGTCATGCACAGTGGATATGTGCATATGCATGTGTGTGCACATGTGTGGGCTGTGGTGGAGAGACTTTGTCCTGTGTTCTGCTATCACTGAGACTGCTGAAGGCTGCTGAGCTACACAGAAGTTTGTTTGTTTTTACCTTGGGAACATGATAACACTTTCCTGATTAGAGATAAAAAATGCAACTCATGGCTCTTCTGCAATTTTTCTGTTAGCACTTTGATGCAAAAAAGAAAGGACATTTGTTTGGGTCTTGTGCCTTTTGTGCTCCCTTCTGGGATGGGCTGGTGTTGAATGGACCACAGCCCAGACACACACTTGGAAAAACAAGCCCATCTCATTCAGAGGCCAGACTGGGCAGCTGGCAAAGTTAACATTCGGGCTGAGATCTTGCTGCTCTCCTGGTGTATCCCACCCTGCCTGGTGTCAGCTGGTCCACAGAGGAGACTTAGGGGTTCTCAGAGGCTGCATCTAGGATCAGTATGTGGGTTCTCTAGTATTGGGAGGTGTTAGTGCTGAGTGTGAAATGCCTAGGATGTTACCCCTGTCAGCTACGAGCACTGGCTATGGCGTACAGCTCTAGGACATGTTCTTGACTCCTCTTCTGATGCCTGTGTCTCTCAGTGACACCTTCTCAGATGCTACAAGATAGAATGGACTGTTTTTGTTTCACATTTCTCACTTCTCAGACCATAGCTGAGGAGCTGATTATGTCAAGCAGAGTTGGGCAAGGTTGGATTAAACATTAATGCAGCTGTCACCACCAACCAAGAGAGAAAGCTCCAAGCAGAGCTATGTGTCTTTCTCATGTTGAGGAGTGCTGACCAGTGGCCATGGCTCAGTTTGGGCAGGTTTTGGCTGAAATAGGTGAATTTGGTCGCTTCCAGGTACAGATATTGATCTTGGTGAGTGTCCCCAGCTTCCTGTTTTCCTTCTTTGTCTTTGGCCAGGTTTTCATGGTCCTGGATGAGGCCCACCACTGTTCGGCGGCCTGGGTCCAGAACCACACTTTGAACCTGAGTGCTGCTGAGCAGCTGGCCCTGAGTGTCCCTCTGGATGTGGCAGGCCAGCCCGAGTCCTGCCTCATGTTCCGGCCACCCCCTGCCGACGCCAGCCTGGAGGACATCCTCAGCCACCGCTTCAATGAGACACAGCCCTGTGAAGCTGGCTGGGACTACCCTGAGGGCAGGCCCCCTTCCCTACTGAATGAGGTGAGTCCAGCCTAGGCTTTGTTCATTCACGTACTTTGGTCTCTGCCTGACCTATGCCTGTGGTTGGCAGTTGTTGCTCTTTTCTCTTCCTGTAGCTGAAGTTCTGAGTGTTGTTCTCCCTGCTTTTCCTTTTGCCCCAATCCAGTTTTTCTCCTGGTCCTCTGCCCACTGGCCTTTCTCTGTCTCTATCATGTTCTCTGGTTTCCTGCCATGTGTCTTATTTTTGTCCATGCTCTAGTCTCTCTCTGTGCTTGTCCTTCTGTCTGTCTGCTCAGTTGCATGCTTTTGTTCCTGACCCCTGTGTTTTCTTCCCACACTTTTTCTCTCTATGTGACATTCTGATTGGTCCATTTTCCTTTGTCCTTGAGTCTGCCCTCCTTCTGCCTGGTACTTATCTCCCAGGGTTGCCCTTGCTATCTTGTGTAACCAGTGCCCTCTCTGCACATTGTCCTTTCTGCTCCTGGATTTGGATTCCCTACTATCTGGCTGCTTGCTCCCTCTGGGATATGGGAGAGCACTTGTGACACTAGGTCCTCTCCTGTGAACTGTTGGGCACAGAGCTCTTACTGCCTTTACTTCTTTTGAAGAGACAGAAGCAGCTAAACAAAAGGATTCTTCTTCCAGCCACAGTGAGGCACAGGGGTCCTCTGAAGCATCTCAGCTGCTGCTGCTGCTTCTTCTGCAATGGCAGGACTGAGGCTAGAGGGAACAGGGCTGGGCCAGGACATCATGGGAACTCATCATGGAGCTGGGCTGCCATCCTCAACACCTGCTGCCTAGCTGTGGAGGGACCATGCATAGGACACAGGCCAATGCCCCTCTCCCTATCTGTATGGGTTCTGTTTTGGAGACTACTAATGACTATTTTCCATTCAAAGTTCTCAAAATGATTCACTTTTTCAAAAACTTTCAAACAAAATTTTTAACAAATGTAAATTTATCTATTTATGTATTTATTTGCCAGTAGTAGAAATTCAACCCGAGGCCTCACACTGAGTGACATCAGTGGCTCCCCAATCCTTAAAGTTATTTACTGTAAAATATTATTTTTCTGAAAACATGTTTTCTGTAAAGAACAGTTTAAGAACATTATATGGCTTTAAAGCTAGGAGAGAAAAGCAAATCAAAACTAATTTGTTGCTTTCTATTATTTAGAAATCTGATGCAAGAGCATTGGGTTAGGTGCTTCAGAGGGCCCCTCTGCTCTCAGTGGCTGGACAAGGGATCCTTTTGTTTACTTGCCTCTGTCTCTCCAAAGGAAGTAAAGTCAGTAAGAGCCCATGTCCAGCCATTCACAAGACAGGGCCTAGAGTCACAAGTGCTCTCCAGCATCCCAGAGGAAGCAACCGGGCAGCGGGGTAGAGAGGAGCCGGACAATGGGGAATCCAAGTCCAGGAGCAGGAAGGCAGATGTGTGGACAGGAAAAAGGAGACACAAGAGAGCCAGGGCAGCACAGGGAGACAGGTTCCAGGCAGGACAAGGACAGAATCCAGGACAAGGGAAAATGGACCAATGCAAATATCAGATAGAGACAAAAAGGGTGGGAGGAAAACAGAGGGGACAGGCCACTGAGTAAGCAGACAGGGACAAGCACAGAGAGACCAAAGCATGGACTAAAATGATCAGCCTTAGCTGGGCTGCCTGGTAAAAAAGACTTGTAAGGCAAGGCAGGCCTCACCTCCCACAGTTCCACTGGGGTGCTCAGACACCAGGGGCTCTTTGGGCAACCAAAGCTCCCTCTAGTGGCCGCTGCTGTTGTTTCCTTTGCCGGTCCTCGCCTAAATCACTGAGCTGTCCACATGTGACTTTCTTGGGCACGGACCTCTGTCCTTGGAAAGCCCAGGAGATTCTGCAGAGACGCAGTCATCTGGATCTTGAGCTCTGGGCTTGGCTGAAGTGGCACTTCACTGGTTTCTTTCTGGCACATACTGCCAGGTGCCTGCTACTTTAACCTGTATTAAAAAGAGGGCTTTCAAGAGCAGGTCACAAGGCTCTTTTCACTGTCCCACATGCAGGCTGCAAACGTTATTTGCGTCAGCACATGTGCGCAGGATTGTGGGCTCTGAACAGGGGATAAACTGTGTGGCTGTTGGTCCTCGATGGGAATGGCCTGTGGAAGGCAGGTATAGGAGAAGGGAGGCAGGCGTGATGGGGCACGGGGAGAGCAGGGGGATCAAGGAGGCGGTGGCTGTGTACTTGGCGGCATCTCTGTAACAGGAGCCCTTTTCATTTTTTAGTTTGTGACATGGTCTTTCTAAAGAGTGATATTCCTGCCTCCGCTTCCAGAGTAGGTAGGATTGCAGGTATGCAGCAGCACACATGACTGAACACTCACTTTTTAATATGGGACCCTAAAGTTCTAGACTCTGTTAGCTTTAGGATGGGCCCTTCCTTTGCTCCTCCTCTCCTCCTCTTCCCACCCTTCTCCTAAGAGAATTAGGTAGCCCGAGACCCTCCCAGTCTCTTGTTCAAGCCCAGATTACACTAGCTGTGAGTGGAATGGAGTGATTGCACAGCATCACAACATGGTAGCCACTAGGCTTGGCCAGGTCTTGGGAGCCGTGCTGGGCACATGAGCTCATAATCTCCTGTTCACCTCCCACATTCATCATCTGTGGGCTCAGAAAACTCCACATTTTGGAGTTTCCTGCTACCCTGCCCCGGCGGGACCAGTCCCAGCCCAGGCGCAGCGTGGGCCGGACCCTCTCCCAGCCCCTCGGGCCGCCCCCCACCACTCCTCAGTGCC